ATTACTTATATGAAGTACTTCAAAGGTTACCTGTATGAATTACTTATTCAATGGTTACTTGTTACTTATTCAAGGGTTGCTTGTAGGTTGGTTTCAAATAAAAAAAAAAAGGGGTTGCCTGTAGGCCCCATACCAAACCAGTAACACCCTACAAGTAACCCCCGACAAAAACCAGTAACACCCTACAAGTAACCCCCGAACAAAACAAGTAACACCCTACAAGTAACCCCTGACAAAACCAGTAACACCCTACAAGTAACCCTTGACCAAAACCAGTAACACTCTACAAGTAACCTCTGACCAAACCAGTAACACCCTACAAGTAACCTAACCCCTAACCAAAACCAGTAACACCCTACAAGTATCCTCTGACCAAAACCAGTAACACCCTACAGGTAACCCCTGACCAAACCAGTAACACCCTACATGTAACCCCCGACCAAACCAGTAACACCCTACCAGTAACCCCTGACCAAACTAGTAACACCCTACAATTTTGACGTAGAATGTTTGATTTGAGATTCCACGAAGAAAAGGAGCTCAAATTTCTTCGTTTCTCATCGATTTCACTATTTCAAATGTTGTTCATGATCTTAAGGATAATTAATCACAATTTTTCACAACAGTTTGACACCCAATTTCTACAATTTCGGGCTTTAATTGTAGCAATTTAGCAAAGAGGAGAGAGAAAATGGGTAGAGTAGAGATATGGTTGTTGGTGATGTGTGGTTTGGCTTGAAGAAGAAGCTAAGAAAAGAGGAGAGAGGAAATGGGTGGAGTAGAGATATGGTTGTTGGTGATGTGTGATTTGGCTTGGAGAAGAAGCTAAGAAAAAAAAGGAGAGAGAAGAGTTGTGGTATTTAAAAAATAAATAAATAAATAAAAATTGTGGCTGACCACACAGTGTGGCCAGCCACATACAAAAATTTGTGTTAATCTAATTGATGAGTTTATGTGATGAATTATTGAATTGTTGCATCTTGAATTCTTTACTATCACGATTTTTTTAAAATTTTAATTAAGTTGCTAATATTTGCGTATAATTTTTGGAAAAAAAAATGAACATGGTATACTTTAAATTGAACATTTAGTACATAAAAATATCCCTTTTTATTATTTCCCTTTTTTTTTCTTTTTTTTTAACCCAACCTTTTACTAACCCGACCCAAACCCGATAAGATGTATGACCCGACGTGACCCAACTTAACCATGACGGCTCTAGATCAAACTAATACATTATTTGCCAACACCACAACCCATGAGAACGGTTGAACTGTAGAAAATTCTGTACAAATTTTTTTTTAAAAAAAAGGAAATAAAAAGGAAATAAAAAAAAATAAATAAATAAAAAGGGATAAAAATAAACTTTGCCAACACCACAACCCATGAAAACGGTTGAACTGTAGAAAATTCTGTACAAATTCAAAAAAAAAAGGGAAATAAAAAATAAATAAATAAAAGGGACATGGATGGAATTTATAGGAAACAATATACTGTGCAACTGCCCTTTTTAAATAAATAAATTAAAAAAAAAAAAAAAGAAACAACCTGATGCAGGCATAGTTCCACGTGAATACAATTCCAGTGGGACATGGGGTCTATTTTTTTCACCCACCAAAATTTTATATGCAATCAAACTTGTAGGATATATATGTAATCATATTATTCAACAACCAAGCTGTAAAAAAATTACCATTTGACATAAACCCTACAAATAAATAATTAAGTTAGATTGCATTAAAAAAACATTTTAAATTAAAAGTGTATGTGATGTATTGTGAATAATAACGTTAATAATTAATTAGTAAAAATCATTGCTTGGATGCAAAGGCTTACAATAATATTTGGTACAAAGAATGAGCCTACATATGATATGTATATCATATTTATTTCTCATAATCATCTTCAAAAAATAATAAATCTACTTTAATTATATCTTGGGTCACCTATTGTCATTCAAATACTAAAGCTGATTGCAGTCTATATCCCTGCATTTTAAAAAGTTTAATTAAGAAAATTTAGATTATACTCTCTAAAATATTTATTTAATTCTTTATCCACATTAATGATAAATGTCTTTATTTTTTAACTCTTTATAATAGTGTGTGGATATTGATACCTCTATAAATATATGTTTATATATTGTCCCTCGTTATTAATGATGCAACAACTTAAGTTTAGGCAAAAGCCAAACCAAAAGTGCTTTTCGAACATGGCTAATTGTATATGGCACGTGTTAGCTACCCTAACTTAGTATAATATAAAATTATTTTAAAAGTTACGACGACTTATATCCTCTTCTATTCTTTATCATACACATTCATTTGAACTTTTTGTGATAAATGCATTTGAATATTGGAAAAATAGTCATGAGTAATCTTATTTGATTCACCTCTAAATTCACTTTTTTTTTTGTTAATTATTTTTACTAATATGTAAATAAATTAAAGGTATTAATGATATATAAAAATTCATTTATAACAACCTTGTAATAGGTTTTATATGGAGTAAAATATATTTTAAAATAAAAAGTTCCACAAATTCTTGAATGCTTCTGACTTTCTTTAGCTTATTGAAAGACAGGTTAGAGTTAGCCTAAAAAAATTTTAAGTTCGATTTTTATATAACATTAAAATTACTACTTGAATACATTTGACTTTCATTAGCTTATTGAAAGACATGTTAGAGTTATCCTAAAAGTTTTTAAAGTTGCGAATTTTATATAATATAAAAATTACTACTTGTATATTTAACATAAATTTTACCCTTTAAAACACTAAATAAATAATGTATTAGTTTGATCTAGAGCCCTCAATTCGGGTAAACGGGTCGGGTTTGAGACGGGTTAGTGTGAGTTAGGTCGGGTCAATACGGGTTAATGTCATAACATATGCGGGTCGGGTTCAGGTTGGGTCATGCTTAAGTCGGGTCACGTCGGGTCATACATCTTATCGGGTTTGGGTCGGGTTAGTAAAAGGTTGGGTTAAAAAAAAAGAAAAAAAAGGTAAATAAAAAAAATAAATAAATAAAAAGGGACAAAAACAAACTTTGCCAACACCACAACCCATGAGAACGATTGAACTGTAGAAAATTCTGTACAAATTTAAAAAAAAAAAAAGAAAAAACAAAGGGAATTAAAAAAATAAATAAATAAAAAGGGATAAAAACAAATTTGCCAACACCACAACCCATGAAAACGGTTGAACTGTAGAAAATTCTGTACAAATTCAAAAAAAAAAAAAAAGGGAAATAAAAAAATAAATAAATAAAAGGGACATGGATGGAATTTATAGGAAACAATATACTGTGCAACTGCCCTTTTGATGTTAACCATGTTTTCTCTTTTTAGAAGGTTATAGAAAAAGGTTCGCCGGCGCCGGGGAGGGGGTTTGGCGTCGGCCGCAAAGGAGGGGGTTTTTTCGAGGGTTGGGGAGGGTTTTAAGGGGAGGGGAAACGGAGGGAGAGGGGGCTGGGGAGGGCCGGGGGTGTCCAAGGTGGAGGGGATGGCCTTACCGGCGACCGGCACCGGTTTCCGGCTAGGGGGAGGGGGACCACCGACGCCGACGGCCGTTGGCAGGGGTTGGCTTGGTAGGGGAGGGGGTGGGTTTATTATTTTTTTTATATTAATTAAGTAATTAATTAAATTAATTGATTAATTATTTAAAAGAAAACCAATTGCAGCATGCCACATGGCATAATTAACCTTAATGACTAACGGAATTAACCACCGTTAGTCATTAAGGGCATTTCGTGACATATTTCTTAAACTCAAGTGTATTTGGTGAATTTGAAAATTATGATGGGTATTTGGTGAATAAAAAAATTAATCAGGAGCATTTCATGAAATTTCCGTAAAAAAAATTGTACAAGAAAGATAGTAGGTTTAATAGTTTGTTGAAAAGTAACGAATGTGAGGGTAAAAAATTGAATAAAAAAAGAAGAAGTATTGAGTTTGAGGGAGGACCATGATAAGAGAGATATATATATTATTAAAGTGTAAATTTTTTACCAAAATAATGTAATACTTTTTAGAACTTGCCGCATTTGATAAGTGTAAACTTATTAAAATACGGAAAGTGTAATGAGTAATATGTAATTTATACTTATTAATAATTAAATATATTATTGGTCAACATTTTACATCGATATGTGTACCAAGTTATCACAAAATTACGATCGAAATACGTAAATACTCCCTCCGTGTTTTTTTAAGTGATACATATTGACCGGCACATAGTTTTAGGCAATTTAATTGACTTAAATAAAATAAGAGGTAAGTGGGGTAGTGGAGTATTAAAAAATTGTTAAAGAAAGATAATGGAGTTAATAGTTTATTGAAAAGTAATGAATGTGAGAGGAAAGATAAAATAAAAAAGTAGTTGTGGGTTTGAGTGGGGGCCATGAGAGGAGAGAGATATAATATTTTAATGTATTGTTTTGCCAAAAAAGGAAATGTATCACTTAAAAAACACGACCGGAAATGGAAAATGTATCACTTAAAAAAACACGGAGGGAGTAGAAAGATTTTTGTAAAACGGATGAAGTAATATATAGTGTATATAAAGGTGTCCTACAGTCTATACGGTTATACCTATGATGTCTATATACTCCCTCCGTTTTTAATTACTTGCTCCATTTCTCTTGGGCAAGTATGCGGATGCTAATCTTTAATCAATTATATGTTTAATTATCAATAAGTATAAATTCTAACAATTAAAAATTAATAATCTATTCATTGTGACAATTCCAACAAGCACCCACAAAACTATATTTTTTTTTATTTATAAATCACAATAGAAATGGAGCAAGTATTTAAAAACGGAGGGAGTATATAATAACTATCCATGTAATATAAAGTAGAATACTTCCAAAAAAAATGTATTTTATCACTTTATATTAGTAGGACATGTTTGGTAGATAAACTCTAACCTACAAAAAGTCACCAACGTAAGCCAAAAAAAAAAAAAAAAAAAGTAAGAAGTAGCAAACTCAGTAGGAGATAAATGGAATTGTGCAATATCTTTGTACTGTACAACTACCCTTTAATAGCAAACCATCAATTCTCTTTTTATATAGTATAGATATAAGAACATAATAGCTAAGAGTAAGGCAAACGCCACAAGAGTTCCTAGATAATACTGAACAATACTATAATATCACTTGGGAAACCTTTACTCTATGAAGAGTAAGGCAAAGACCAAAAAGTTCCCAAGTAATACTTTAACATAACATCACTAGCCAAATCTCTACTCTAAGATTAATGACCAAAAGAATTCCTAAATAATACAATAAATATCATTTAATCTCACACCAATCGACCTCAATACGAAGAAGATAACTATTTGTCTCTACAATCTTGAAACCTTCACCAATTTCAATTTTTGTAGCACATGAAAAGTTTTCATCAGATTTGCCAAATAATATATCTACGTTGACAATAAGAGAGGCATATGATGGAACAACAATCATGGATCTTGAAAGTGGTATTCTCGAATCATCACTTACTTGAATTAGATCATCCTGAATCTTCTCGAATAACACAATCCGGTAGTAGTCTTTGTTAAAGCGCGATGTATCGTCATAGCAACTATATTGAGCAATAAGGCTACCCCAAATCTTAGGACAAACATCACCACATCCTGTTTTAGGATTTAGAAACACCTTAATGTTTGCACCAACAGCTTCTGAGAAGATTGAATAGTGTATTGCTGCAAATCCTCCCTGTTGACCCGGAATAAGAGAACACAATTGCTTTTCATACCACAAAGAAGTGAAGTACAGAAGCTCCCCAATCCACTAATCCTCGAATAGCTAAACGGTCTTCAGTATCCTTTATGCTAAACTTCATTTGTAATGAACTACAATCATCAAAAACTCTGGAACCATCTGATACAGGTAATGATTTCTCATTTTCAGATAATATCAAGGCATCTTTTTTATCTCTGTTAAAGATATAAAAAATCTTGTCATCATCATTTGATAAAACCTCAATTGAACCAAAACTTCTTCCACCAAAAAAGACAGAGAAAATCTCCAAGGCAGGAGATGCCCATGGCTTACTCTGATGAGCACGAAGATTCCTGACCAAAATTTTCAAGCAAAATCCAAGGAAAAAAATTCATTCTGTATTCAAACAACATATTAAATAATATATACATTCACATGAACATGATATTTATATCCAAATGGCTCGAAGTCCTTAATTTGCTCAATAATCACAATCAAATAGTCCAATATTTTGGCATTTAAACATAATCATAAGACCCATTTGATACTTCACTAGTTCATGAACAAGACTAGCTCATCTACCTTCCAATATCAATTAACAGCCAAAAGTTATGTATAATAGTCCATGGATATTGATTATAACTAGAGAACCTCACAAATAAATTTAACCTCGGAATCTTTTTTATACTTGATATAAAGCCAGAAAAAAATACTACTTGATATCAATACATTACCCAACATTTAGCATTGTTGTTCATACACATTAAATAACATAAATCAAATCTCACAGTCATCCCCGTTAAAGAATAAAGTAAAGTAAAGCAAAGCATTCCAACAGTATATGTAGTCAGATTATGTAAAATATAGCATTCCAAATTCAAACTTAGCAAGTGTAAGCAAATATTATTACCATAAGATATCTAAAAGACCAATTAATTCCCTACAACTCTATTGAAAATCTAATAATAAACTTGTCAATAGAATTCTACCAACCTTAACTAACATCCGATATTAATCTAATTCGAATTCAAGCTCAGTTGCCGAATCGACTAAGCACTTAGTGCATTAGAAAAATGAAAACAATACACCATTACAGAATAATCCATGTTACAGCCTAAGCCTTTAGAATCACATTTATTCTAAAAAATTAATACTAGATAGAGGGAAAGGTGTCTAGTAAAATCTAACCTACACTGATAAATTTAAGGCAAAACACAGCCCCAAAACAAAGTCACAATTACAAGTAGGCATTCATTGGGTAAAATTGTTGCACCATTTGACAATTGTAAACATACCGACATACACTATGGATTTTATTGAGTTTCATATTTGCCAAGCAAGTAACGATATTATCGACATATAAGCAAGATAGATCATATAAGAATTTTTAAGCATAGATAAACAGGCAACATACCATGAGAGTTCAAAGCTAGATGGGAATCCAATCTTAGAGTCAATCCGCTGTCCAACCACATCATGCGAGAACCATGCGACATGAACATGAATAGCTAAATCATCCAGCAAGATGGAACTTGATGTCATTCTCCCATCTTCAGCCGACAACTCCACTGATTGATCAACAATATATCGCATTGTTTTAAATTCATACAAATTAAGGACCACAACAAGAGAAGAACAAGAGAAGAATAAGCTGGTAATGACACCCAACATCTAGAAAGTGGAAACCGTTTGGCAGTGTTGATCTCAACAGGGAAGTCATGCTTCTCAAACAGAACACAATCTTCAGAAGAATAATTCCCATATGTATTGGCATAACGAGCAACAATCCTTCCATTTACATTCAAACCATCATGTTGTTTACCTTGACTACTACAAACTTTAATGTTAGATTGTTTTTGATTGCTTGAGTCTGTCTTTGTGTATACTTTCGTTGTGTATTTGTTTTTGTTAAGAATAAAAAATGGTATGTTTCTCATTTCCTCAATATAACAATGAGCCTTTTATGAATATTTCAATAGACTTGAGGGATTTCTTGATCATAATTGTTGTAGTATTTGGGAGACTTGTGAGATTTGTTATTTTGGTTTGAATGAGCAAACTAGGGATATTGTTGAAAGCATGTATAATGGTGAATTTAGAGCATTATCAATTGACAGTGCTTGGGATTTTTATGTATGGTTTTCTAGGGATGTTTATAATAGGGGTAATCATGTTTCTAATATTGATGTGCAATGTGTCGATTCTTCTAATGTTAGCATGAATTCCCATGATTTGTCACATGATCCCATTAGTGAACCTAGAACAAATGATTACAACTCTATTTCCCCTATTTTTCATGATGACGAGGTGCATTCTAATGTTGATGAGCATGGTGTGTTTCAATATTCTTCATTATTTAGCATGCCTTCTTGTAATGTACCTTCTTTTCCCAATAATGAATCTTATATGCTTGATTGTGCCCCATCTCCCCATGGTGATGATTATACTCATCCTTCTGATGTTGATGCTTATAATCTTGGTTGTGATCCTTCTCCCCTTGTTAGCCCTCTATTTTCTTCATCTTGTGAGTCTCCTATTGATTATTTAGAATCCCTAATTAGGCGTGTTGAGATTAATTCTAATTTTAGGCCAAGTAAGGAGTTGTTTTTAAATTCTATGAGAAGTCAATTAGATATGATGAAAAGGAGTGAGGAGCGTATTGAAGAGGTAATAAGGAGAAAGGAAGAGCTAGAATGTCAATTGTCATCTTTGTTGCATGATCTTGAATTTTTCAAATCCTGTGTGTGTGTTGAGGATGATGATGATGATGTTTTTGTGCAATCAAAAGAGTGTGAGGAAGACATTAGTGAGCTTTTGAGTGTAGGAAAAGGAGTTGAGAATGAATTAAGTGATGATTTTGTGAATCCAAACCCCCTTTCTTATTTTGATGAAGTGCATGTTTGTGATTCCTTTCTTATTTTGATGAAGTGCATGTTTGTGATTCTTTTATTCATGAGTATTTGGACTCATTTGAGGTTATGTCCCATATATTTTGTAAGGTTCAAATGAAAAACCATAGCCTTTTGAGTGAGTTCATTGAGAATGCTTCATGGGAAAGAGATGAGTTTGAAATGAATTTGCATTCATTCATGCATGGTTTTGAGAGTTTGGGCTTTGGGATCTCTAAGAGGAATGTTTTTCATTGTTGTGATGGATAGGATGATGTAGTTTCTCTTGGAGATTGGATTTTTGAGGGATATGAAGTTCATGAGTGTCCATCTTTTGAAGATTCAATTATTGATTTCCATGCTCTTATTGATGATGTGAGGAATGGTGGTGAGGAAGAGTTTGTTTGTGAGACCATTGCTCCTATCCCCTCTTCTCATGTCCCTTTTTCAAGGAAATTTAACCATATCCCCTACTATCCTATGTCCATCCCTTCTTTCGCCAAGGAGCCTATTGGGGATCCTCCTTATATTTGTGATATTCAAGCTCCCCAGTCGTTGATTATTGAGGAAAAGGGTGATTTTGCCACCCAAAAACATTTTGAGGAGAGTTTGCCTTCTTCTTCTTCTTCTTCTTCTTCTTCTTCTTCTTCTTCTTCTTCTTCTTCTTCTTCTTCTTCTTCTTTCTTCTTCTTCTTCTTCTTCTTCTTCTTCTTCTTCTTCTTCTTCTTCTTCTTCTTCTTCTTCTTTCTTCTTCTTCTTCTTCTTCTTCTTCTTCTTCTTCTTCTTCTTCTTCTTCTTCTTCTTCTTTCTTCTTCTTCTTCTTCTTCTTCTTCTTCTTCTTCTTCTTCTTCTTCTTCTTCTTCTTCTTCTTCTTCTTCTTCTTCTTTCTTTCTTCTTCTTTTTTCTTCTTCTTCTTCTTCTTCTTCTTCTTTTCTTTTCTTTTTTTTTTGAATTTTCTTTTGATTCTTCTTCTTTTTCTTGGCATCTCTCTCCTCATTTGCGTACATGATATGTCTATTTTATGTAGTGATTTACCCCCGTCCCTTGGTCATAATTAGTAGTGCTTTTGGCTCTTTAGAGCCACTTTTATTACTAATTTGTGTTTTCTAGTATATTCGTAGTTTTGGTGAGTTTTATAGGGAATTTCACACTTAGAGCAGTTTTCGGGGATTATTTGGAGCAACTACGAGTATTGGAAGAGCACGATCGTCTTTCGTAGACTAAGGTCGGTTAGAGTCATCAAACCGGTCATTAAGGGCTCGACATATGAAATACCGAGGCATTGGACACCGAGTATTCAAGCCCCAAAGAGGAAATCCAGAGTGGGATAAGAAGTGAAGCCCAAATCGAAGTCCAAACCATGCCCAAGAGCCTCGCCCGATCAGGTTGCCCTCTCCCTAAGGCGCGCCCGATCGGTCGGGGCGGAAGAAGAAGAGAAATACTCTTCGCCTGAGCTCGCGCCCGACCGGGCACGAGAAAAGCATCAAAGGCAAAAAGGCGCGCCCGACAGGGCGGTGCCTCGCCCGACTTGGCGCGAGAGATGCACACTTAATGAAAAAGGCGGGCCCGATCGGGCGGTGCCTCGACCGACCGGGCGCGTGTTTTGGAGGATGATTTCCGTCGTTTTTTTTTACTTAGTTTCTAATTAGTATCTTGTTAGCTTAGTATAAGTACGCTTTTGTTAAGCGAGTTTATGATTCTTTCCTTCTCCCTCTCTATCTTTCTCTCTCTCTTCTCTTTCTCTCTCTAACTTTTTCTCTCTCCCCTCTTAATAAAACTCTTAGTATTACTATCTCTCTTGTTTCTCTCTCTACAACTCTTGGTTTAATTCCATCCCTTTATTTCCTTTAACTTTGGTAACAGTTTCTTCTCTTTTAATTTCAGTAATTTAATCTCTTTCTTTGATCATGTCTTGTTTAATTGCTTTGATTAGTTTATATTTAATTATGTGTGAGTAGTTTTCTTTCTAGGGTTTGTGGGGATCCATAAATAATATGAAGGGGTAATTTATTATTGTTAATTGTCAATGCTTGATTAATTTTTTATTGACTGATTTAATGCTATGCAATTAGATTTGGCCAGATTTAATTTGTAAGAGTTAAGAAATATTGATTCGAGATTCGAGAGATGAGAATTAATGTTTAGGCTTAGTTTCAATAGGCAGACTAATTTATAAATGGTTAAGTCGAGATTCGAGAGATGAGATTTAATACCGGTAGATTAACTTTGTGATTGTAATACGTAGCGAAAGCCCTTTATGATCTGATTAATTGATGCATTGATGATTGATTATTGTGTTTTACCCTGGAATATTACTTATTGGTGAACCTATGACCCTAGGCTTCTTATTATTGATTTCTCCCTACTTTTATTCTTCCCTACTTTTACTCTCTTTAGTTTATTTTCTTTTACAATAACAATTTGGTACTTAATAATTTAAATTAGATTATATTAATTAATTAGAAATAGAAAGACTTGTTTTCCCTGTGGATTCGACCCTACTTCCCTATCTACTTTAATTAGAGGACTTAGGTATTACTTTTGATTAGTGAACTATCCTTGTTGTACATCCTCTTCCTCTCATTTTCCTACTTGTTATCTTACGAAATGTGTAGTAGTGCATTTGACAAGCTCTTGTGTTCGTTGCAATATTATTTACTAGAGCGGTCAAGCTTGGACCTTAAGCAAGCCTTTTTCGGGAAGTAACATGTGTTTTATTGCTTTCTTTCTCTTTTCTTATTTAGAATAGGTTGTGACTCATGGAAATTTTTATGTGCTTTGGGCTAGGTACATTACTTGATATACTCTTATGAATTGGTTTGGATCAAGAATCAAGGAAATTTGACTCCACTTTTGCTAGCACATGGAAAACAAGATTCAATTTAGAGGTAGTCGGCTTCAAGGAGGTTTAATTTGGTCATTGCGAGTGTTTACACCTATCTAATATCCGGTAATATCCTTCCTTGCTCTTTCTCTAATGATTTGTGACTTGTTGGACATATGTTGGTTAGTTGGATAATCGTCTTTCTTTTCTCCTCCCATGGATTTTTTGGTTTAAAGTTTGAGTATGTTGCCTCATTCAAGCTTGGGGGAGGGTATTCTATCATGTTTGGTAGAATTTTGATTCATATAAATTCCATGCACATTTTTATATGCATTTCCATTCTCTATATTTTAAAAATTCCAAAAAGATATTTGTTTCTATCAAGGCAAATTTGCAAGGTGTTATCTTTTGTTCTTGCTTTGGACATAATACTTTTGGACTTGCATTCTTGAATGTCTTTCTTCCTAAATTTTAGTGGTGTGCACGGTTTGTGCACGGTTTGAGAATGTGTTAGGTTGACTCTAGGAAATGGTATGCTAAGGTAGTTGGTTAAGAACTTTGGGACCATGAAGCTCTAGTTCACTTGCTTGTGGTAAGATGGAGTTGCTCTCTATAGTGGATATGAAATCAAGAGTTAGTTATTGCTATGCCTAGTGAGGTATAATTGTTCAAGCCTTTATCATACGTTGTTGAGCGGCATATTTGGATCCTTGGCTATTGCATTCTCATATCTAGAACTTGACTTTTAGCTCCCAAGATCGCGACTGAGCCACTTTAGGGGATGACAAAGGCATTTCTCTTTTTTTTATAGGATTAATTTTCTATTTTTGGATTTGGTTTGCATTTGCCCCTATTGCTAGCCCCTTTGAGCCATATACATTCTTTTCTCTAGCCGCAATACAAGCCTTCAAGCCTTGGTTTCACTTTAATTTCTACCTTTAGTTTTGTGAAGCAATTTTGTTTTTGAGCTTGTTTTATTGTTTATGGTGAAAGTTTAGAATTATGAGTTCATTCACAAAGAAAGTATGCGTTGTATATAAGTTTGTGCATAAAAGAAAATGCATTTTGAGAAAAAGTCGTCCAAAATTAAAAGAGGCATGGACATTACATGAAAAAAATAAAGGCA